AGTGATCGTCCGGGGTGCGTCTTTCCCCGCAAAACAGCCGTTAGGCGCATGACACGACGGCATCTACTCGGGTTGATTCACTCCGCGGGTGCTTTCTTGGCTAAGTATTTCTCCGCCGCGATCATCTGTGCATATTGTTCCGCTGCCAAGATACCAAGGTCAGCCATTTTGTTTCATCGCTTTCATGATGGGGTCAATGAGAGGTTTCGCACTGTGTTCTAGAACAAATCGATTGTAGTGCGAAAGTAGTCATTAACGATCTATCTAGGTGCGCAAAAAGAAGATGTCGTAGATACGTTATCGAAATGCGCGATCCCTATGCCGAAAACAGCCTAGTGTACTGCTAGAGCATCGAGGTCCCTACTCAAACACATCACTCACGTACCTGGTCTCCTTGACCTTCTCCAGCCATTCCAGAGCATCATCTTCCGTCTTGCCCGGGAAAGTATCCCTATAGATCTTCATACACATCTCCGCGGTGCTCTTGGCCAACTTGCTCGCACTACCACAGATGAAGACCTTCGCGCCACCTTCCCCGAATAGCTCAGCTAGCTCCTTCCGCTCGTCCCACATGCGGTCCGGCACGCGTTGCGCTTTCTGTCCCTCGGGGGCGACTTTGGAGAAGCAGCCGCGCACGCTGACTACACCGTCAGCCTCCCACTGCTTGAGCTCGTCGGCATAGATGAAGTCCTTTTCGAAGTGTCGACAGCCGAAGTAGAGGATCGCCGGTCCGACCTTCGCGTTGCGGGCATTCTTGATGGTTGCACGCTCCTGGATGAAGCCGCGCATCGGAGCGAGACCTGTACCTGCGCATACCATGATAGTTGGTACAGTCGGGTCGGTAGGCAAGTGGAAGTTGATGTTCGTTGGACGCGGGAAGCAACGAATCTTCTCGCCTGGCTCTTGACGCGCTAGGTACGTGGATGCAACACCGTGGAAGCGGCGATTATCGCCACTCCAGGCTGCCTCATCATGAACGTCATAGGTCAGAGAGGCAACCAGACGCTGGGCGGTAGTTCCTTCAGGTGTTTGGATGAAGTCTACGTTTGCAAGGGGTGAAGACGAGACGCTGTATTGGCGTGGAGAAAGCGGCTTTAGCGAGTCGAGGTAGACTGCAAAGGGTAGCTTGCAATTAGGGTGGTCTTCGAGGATATCTAGAATGCTGTAGCGCTTGGGTATAACCTCGTTCTTGTATGTTTCGTCGCTTGCTAACTCTAACAGCTTGGCCCTTTTGTTTTCTGGTGTGGCTTCGGCAAGGGTCTGCAGCTGCTTTTGCGAGATGGGCGTGCTTAGCTCTACACGTGTCATTAACAGATCGAAGATTGAGGTTGGAGCTTCGGTTGCGATGAAAGTCTTGCTGGTGCCTGTAATGGCGATATTGTCATCGGGCGATAGGTCGAAGCGCTTCATGACCCGCCTCACGTTGCAGATGCTGTTCATCGGCAGGATGACGATGTAGTCGCCGGAGCGATACGATGTTCCTGGTGGTAGTTCGATCTCCATGTGCTTCTTGGTAAGGCCAACCTCGCCGCCACCTAGGCTTTTGTTGACTTTCACCACACCGTAGCCGATGTCTTTGCCTCCGAGGTATGTAGCGAACTTAGGAGGCGTGATATCAGCCTGTAACTGTCCCCCAAGTACCTCAGTAGTGGTGCCGCTGGATTTGCGCAGATCACTCCACATCTGCTCGGACCACTTTTCCCACGGACCCATTATGTCTCCCTTCACATTGACAAGGCCAGTCTCTGTGAAGCGTTTAGCCCCCATCTTCTCAAGCAATTCGTCTGTGAGTTTGGGAACACGATGGTACGTATGGGTCCAGTCGCTATTCCCGACCCCAAAGACGGCATACTGAACTCCCTCAAGCAGCTTGGATGTCGCATTGTTCTCAAGCCAAGCGACGAACTTCTTCGCGTTGTCTGCTGGTTTGCCTTCGTATGAGGGCTCGATGATGACGATTGGCTGGTCTTTGGGGATGTTTTCAGTAGCTGAGTCGAGACTGGCGACGTTCGCCTTGAACCCGAATCGGGAGGCATTGGTCTCCAAGTCTTCGGCATAGGATTTGCATGTGCCGGCGTTCGATCCGTACAGTATGGTAATCGGCTTCGCATCCCTGCTAGGTACATTCGCTTCTTTGGCCTTGCCAGGTCCGTTGTCGTTGGCTTCCTTGGTAATGGTTGCGCCGCCTCCAGTCCCACCCAGGCTAGCCATTGTGCGTCCAGGACGTCTGCGGACCTTGATCTTGAGGTCCTTTGGTTTTTGTGTAATTGTGACCGACACATCTGGTACACAAGGTTAGCGCGGTCACACTCAAGGATATGAAAGCACGTACGGAGCTGGTATCCGGGGTCCGCGAGCTCAACTTGGAACTTCTGTAGGATGAGTGCGACAACCATGATCATCTCCTGCTCAGCAAACGTCCTACCAATGCAGGCGCGCATACCATCACCAAACGCCTTCCATGAGTTCGGTGGAAGCTTCTCCCAGCCACCGTCCAGGAAACGCTCGGGTCGGAACACGTCCGCGTCATCGCCATACACTTTAGGGTCATGATGAAGTCCCTTTAGGTTCATCAGGATCATGTCTTTCGGTTGCACTTCGTATTTTCCCTTACAATCGTTAGATGCTAACTATAGTAGCTATGAGATGGACTTACCGCGACTTTCGTTGGTTTCAGCGCATGCTTTCCATTGATCGCAATTGGGCCGAGGAAACGCAACGCTTCGTAGATTGCGAACTTGATGTATTCAAGCTTCGGGATATGTTTCAGCTCTAAAGGACCGTCTCCGAGGACTTCGTCAACTTCTTGTTGAGCTCTCAGATATTTATCTGGGTTTCTGAGCAGGTGGTAAAACAGGAAGCCCAAAGTCCCGCTTGTAGTCTCATGGCCAGCAACCAGGAAGGTTACCATGTTGTACCGCACAGACTCTTTCGTCATCTTCTCTCCAGTCTCCTTGTCTACTGCCTCAAGCATGGGGTTGAGAAGGTCTTTGGCATCTGGCTGAGGATGAGCGATTCGATCAGCGATAATCTGGTCGCATAGATCATGCATCTTCTTCACGTTATCCTGACGATGGGCTTCGGCGAAGACTCGGAGTTTGTTCTCGATAGACGTGCGTGTGGCTCGTCTACCAGACTCCACCAAAACCTCCACCATTTGGTTGATGAAAGGATGCGCACTATTGCTGTAGAAGTTATTGAACCTGTAGCCAAACGCGCACAGCCCGATCATATCAAAGGTCAGCCTTGAAGTAGTTAGTAATGACATCGTTTGGTATGAAATGGATGATATTCACCTTGTGAAGTCATCGGCGCATTCGATCTCATGATCTGGGCCAAAACGGTCCCACCGGAGTAGCATCTGCGTCGAAATGTCCATCATGCCGTCGAACATCTTTCGGATGCCCATTGGCCCAAACACGGGCATCAACAGCCGATGAGCGACACCCCAAGCCTAGTGCGTATATTAGTACATCTACTATCATAGCAGACATGACAAGTGTACCTTTTCGCCGGGATAAGCTGTGAACAGGCCATCTCCTGTCAAAGCTCGCACCTCATCCAGAGTAGCATTAATGGGCTTTTCGAACCGGTCACCGTCGCAGCAGTCGTTAATAGTGTCGTATGAGGACACAACGATGACTTTGCCGTCGCGCCCCGGGAACTGGAGTTGGTAGATCTCGCCATAGATATCCGCAAGTCGTTGGAAGGAGCCTGGAGCGTCGTTCGGATCGATCTCAGCGAAGTTGCCTACGAATAGGTGTGGGGGAGGCTGAGGAATAGGCAGAGAATCTGATGTATCGGAGGCCATCATCGCAAGATTATTAGGGTGGTGACAAGACCGGATGTTTGGTTTCCAACGAGGAGGAAAGACCGAAGGACTTGGATTCAGCTGCTCATTCCTGGGAAAGAGCTGGGCTACATATACACGGGTAGCAACACAGCGCAGGGCATGTCAGCCTAGGGACGTCGGCCTCCCATGGCAGCCCTCGACCGAGCCTTGCCATATAATGCTGCCTAGTTGCTGACTCCGCAGGGATACAGAGTCCTTTGGTGATGTAGTTACAGCCAATGTGGTCTGATTGGGCGTCACACTGTCCGTAGTCAGCGAGTTTGTGTTCAGCTCGGCTGTGCCAGCCACGCGATAGGCTCCTGTATCGTGATGCATGGGAGCACGACAGCATGCCGACGCTGCGCCTCGTGCGAACTGGTGACCGAGAGATATTGCGCGCGACTTAGCCAGATCACAGTACGCAGTAGCCTTTGCCTGTCTAGAAACTGTCTACCGGACGGCCCGAGGCGCAGGGCCAACGGCCTGTCCACCCCGCGCCACGCCGTAACACGCGCAGCGTCTGTTGTTGAGAGCACCAACGGTTCATCAGACGTCTTGGAGATTCGGCATCTGATGAACTGATGTTCTCTGAGTTGTCAAGGTTTGCTCGTTGAGGTAGTAGACGGGAAAACATCGACGCAAACGCTGTTCGTGAGTTAGTGTACACGGCGATCGTCGCGTCTTCGCGTGACGGGGTGCTTCATTGAGCTCAGCGGCATCATTGCGACATCTTCAGCGTTTTCGTAACGATACTGATACTCTGAGCTTTAGTGGTTATGCAACATGCACACTGTCTAGACATGTTGCAAGGCGAGACGGCGGTGTTGTGCAGGACGCGCCAAAGCTCGGCCGGCTCAAGCGGCCGAGCGGGGCGCCACTTATCGGTGGAAAGTACGAAAGAGCTCGTATTCCAACGTTGCACCCAGTGTTCACGATAAGAACGTTAAATGAGTCGAGGCCCAGGAAGACTCCACGCAATAAGACCAGACATGAATATATTCATCAGCCAGACGGCATGCATTGCATTAAGTGAGGTTGACCAGTGTACACATGAACGTCTCCTTCTCCCATGTCTGATACAACAAAACACCAGCCATCTGGTCGTTGTACCATTTATTACGGTTGATATGCACCATAATGATGTATATCGTGCACAACTCACAAAGACTCAAGCCGCGGATGTCTTGGCCTCCTTCTCTTTCTTCCAGACAGCGATGGTGGAACTGTCGAGGTGGATCTGGTTGTACGTGCTGACATAGCTAGGACATTCGCCATCGTGGCGCGTGAACTTGCCGGATGCTTCGCCGATGACATAGTCGATCGAATCGCTAGCCTTGAGATCCAACATACCCCAGTGATTGAGGAAGCCAAGAGCAGAGTTGTACATGCTCTTCAATTTGAACCCCTTGGGAGCTTGGCCTTTCAGAAAACGAATGTAGATAGTGAGACGCTGGGTGTATACGTGAAAAGTGAACTCTACACGAGGTTGTAGGTTGGTGGTACTGCGAAGCATCTTCAGCCAATTTTCGTTGGTGTTGGCGAGGAAGGCATCCAGTGCGTCGAGATACCCATAACTCCACCTCATTTGCCAAAGCACTTCACCCCAAGTGTCCTCGTGATCGCAGTCCATGTCGCATCCACAATGGATGCTGTGTCCGCATTCGAAGCACTCTACGTTGGGCACATCGTCTTCGAGTACCTGACGGGAGGCGAAGTTGACAGTAAAGGTTGGGCAGTGTGCGCGTAGGCGGGCCAGGAGGGTGATGTTTGTCAGGACGTCCTCCATAGACTCTTCGTCCCCACCGTAACCTTCCTCAAGTTCATCGCCAAGCTGACCGTGGTCCCAGGATATTAGCAGAAGCTTTGGAGCGTGCTGGTAATCTGCGACCTTGGGGTAGTATGCGTTGATGAAATGAGCGAGTGTTGGGAGTTCCACGCAGAAGCGAGATTGACGAAGCCACATAGGCCGATACTCCGTCCGAATCTGCTTGCAGACTTGAGTGAGCGCACGGTAACGTAGCGTGCTCAGTAGATGCGGCACGGTAGTGCTGTCACTTGCGACCTTAGAACGCTTGAGCAGAAGCGGTCGTATTAGATCATCGTCGTCATCATATACCCCTTCTTCGGCGAAGTGGTATATGCGATTGCGGATTTCTGCGAATAGTCAGCCAACCAAAGCGCTATATAGGCAAAAGAGGGACATACCAGCAGGCAGCTCGAGGAATTGGCAGCAATTGAGCATGGGCTCGAACTTGGTCTTATCGCCAAACGTCTTGCCACCCGAATTACTACTGTTGCCCTTCTTGGCGTCGCTTGTCTGGAAGTTCTGGCCTTTGCCTCTGTATATCGGTCAGCTAAGGTGTAGGGCGATATGTGAAGGTACATACGCGTCGGAAGGCATCTCCACTGTTGAACCTGAAAAAACCTGTAGAGAGCGGAGCGCAGTCTTCAGGTAGGTGTCAAGCGGGGTTGGGTAAACAACGAGAACAGGCAGCGAAATGCGCATTTGTTAGTCGCGGAAAGAGCGCACGAGCGTGACGCGATTTCCCGTGACCGATGACGCACTATGCCTACACCGTCTCGTGGGCGCAGACCTCTCGGAAGACCCCGCTCTTCTTCTTTCAGAAACGGATTCGATTCTAGAGGTGCCCTTTAAACTCTAGGCACTCAGGCGGAATCCTTAGTCCCCCCCTCCCATCTTGCTGCGTCCTACTCGTCTGCCAGTCTTAATTCCAGTAGGCAAAAGGCCATTATCCGCGTAGGCTCGACGAAGAGGTCCTTGCTCCCTAAAGTTATGAACGAAGAGATTAGTACCCCTGGGTGAATCGTACTAACGCTGCATAGACACCAGCATGCGAGAACCACGGCGTGGGGGCAGTGACTGACAGTGTTGCGTGTTTTCACCTCAAGCGGTTCTACATTCAAGACCATGCCCGGCGTCGTGGTGTGCAGCGACGACGCGTGCAAACAATAGGCGCCAGTGACTGCCTCGTCAGGCGTGGCAGTTTGCTTCCACCCCATACGACAAACAGTCACATCGCTGTCTCACAACACATCCTTTTCTCTTATAAACTCCCCACGAGTCTCCAAATATCCCACGGCGACTGACAATCCTGTCACTGAAAAGTGAACGCGGCGGTATGGCTTTGATCTCGACCTGCTCTTATTGGTCGGCTTGGCAGGTGAAGGCGACCACATACCGTGGGTGACAATAGAACAGACAATGGGCCGTCCATACCAGCCACCCGCATTGTTTCTCCTTCACCAGGTAGTCCTACTCCCTTATGGCGAAAAATCTTTTTCAAGCTCTGCTGCAAATTTACCACCGACCTCACTTCCCAATTACTCCAAACACCGACCTCCAGTCCAAAAGATTGCGATCAGCTGCGAGCCGGAAACTTCAGTCTGACAACCACGAAACTGCACGCATTAGCAAGGCATCTCAAGATGTTTGCGCAAGAGTATATCCCTTTTGCGACAGACACAGCACCGTCTACGGACGAGCGCGGTATCCCACAACCCTCCCATCTCACGCGCAAAGCATCATCCGCCAGCAGTGCGTTCTTGCGAGAGCTTCTTGGCCCGGAGATGGCTCTCTCGATCATGCCTCCCGGCTGCCGCACCATCGCCTTCTCGCAGTGGGGTGGCTTCACTGCAGCGCCCGAGCAGGTCACACCGACCGGAGAGCTCAAGGCCTCAGACCTGTACATGGATCGCGGCATGACATCCACCTTCAACCCTCCGACGTCCGAATGGTGTTATCTGGGAGTGAACCAGCCAAAGCCAGACCCCAGATACAACGCGCAGCCCATTCCAGATCTTCGCAAGCGCAAGCGGAACTCATCGACCAGCATCGCGACTGTGAGCGAGCAAGGCGATCAGGGTGCCAGACCCAAGGTAAGGAAATCACTGTACAAACTGCGTGTGAGACAAACGCTGACTTCGTATCTTCGTAGCCAACGACTTCGCCCGTCCGCTTTACTAGGCAGACACTGAAGCGAGTGAACACCAACTCCGAGCTCACAAGGTCGTTCGAGATGGTGTCCATCAAGGAAGAGAAGAAACCCACGTTGGCCGAAAAGTTCGCGTTCGAGGGACTGAACTGTGAGGATCTTCCGTCAGCATTCGACTCCGACGACGAAGAAGAAGACTACGACATCCGACATGCTCGCTGATGGAAGCATGAGAGCCCCTGAGTATCACTGCCTGCTTCGCGATCAAGGATGGTCGCATAGGGTGGTCTGGGGGTGGAAAGCATCCATAGAACAAAAGCTTATGAGCGCATCGCATAGGAGCTGATTCCGTTGCAACGCTGGTTTCATTGTTCACTGAAGCGGCGCACGACTTGAGCATTTGGCTTGGAAGGTGCGATGGCAAAAGGAGTGCAAGATGAGGCACAATGGTTGAAGATGTCTCGCTTGCCGGCTGGCCCGAGCTCTCTTTGGATTCGATGACAGCATCGATCATCAGCTCTAGCATAACTTTTGGCCTGTACATATACACCCGCCACAACAATCAATTGCATATCACAACCATGGAACGAAGTCTACTACAGTGTACCCGTGCATTCTCAAGATGTACGACCCAAACCTCATGTCGTAATCTGCCCAAATGCAGACCCTCGGTGATCGCGTCTGCACGACAGGCACGCTGCCTACACACGACGCGCCCCGCCCTCCTCCAATCCAAACCTCCAAGAACGCGCGATCGCGGCCCAAAGAGCGACGAAGACACGCAGACCGACTTCAGTGCTCTCGATGTCCTCCGGAACACCGTCGCTCCCGCCACATCCATCGACGCGTGCACAGGCGATGGCTTCGCGCTCAACAACCAGATGCGCATTAGCGGATGCGGCATTCTCTTGATAGGCGGAGAAGCATATCGATGGAAGCCCTGGCTACGCGAGGGTAGGAAAGAGGGCACCGTCGCTGAAGGAGGCACGGGCGATGATGCAATGACAGGCAAATTGCTGAACGCGAAGAGGCAATGGGAGGTGCCGGAGCAGGCCTGGGGAGTGTTGGAGTTGTTATATCCGAAGCCTGGTACGTTTGTAATCGCCTGCAACGAATGCGTGACGAACGTGGTCTGACAGCGAGCGACAGATCTACTCATCATTGGCACCGGCCCCAGTACCGTGCCTCTCGCACCTGCGGTTCGCAAATACCTAAACGACCAGGGAATACGATTAGAAGTCCAAGACACAAGGAATGCGGCGGCGCAATTCAACCTACTTGCGACAGAGAGGGGTGTAGGACAGGTTGCGGCGGCGCTCATACCCATCGGCTGGAGAGAAGGACGATGATGGTCGAACTAGCAGCGGGCCTACCACTGTCCCGTTGGTTTCCCCAAACGGTCACGCTGTGATGGTTCATTGACGCCTTGGAAGACCTAGGAGCTGGCCTAGACGATCCGGCTGTGAACGACTCCAGGTCGATGGTCCACCCAAACCATGGAGGGTAGTCTTGTTTCCAGGCAAGCTATAATAGGGCCAGCGACACGTCACAGTACGAAGATATGAGCGCGTAAGTCAACGATTTTATGAGACATGCCCGCGAAGTTGAGCACACTCATTGTACTATTTGTATACATACATTCCATTGTTCTCAGATGATCCTGGAACCGACCTGTACATATAAGTCCTTCGTGTCTCACCTTTACCTCTCTCTTTGTCGTACTTTTCATGAATTCCCCAACTCGTTCCTCGCGCTGCTTGCTTGTTCTGACCCCACCAGTTCTATTTGCCAGTCCGGCCGTCGAGCAAACAAACACTGTCACAATCACAGCCGCGACTCCCTGCCCCAGACCGCTCCTTCCGACTTGCGCCTTCTTGACCCACCACGTGGCCCGGCGATATCGCATAACTAGCAAGCCAATGTCGCTTAAATACGTGACCTGCGCACTATCGACCTTTCTTTCCACTCTCCTCAGTCTAATCACTCGAAGCTGTGAACTAATGTCTGACGCTGATATGCACGGAATAAGGTGGGGCTTTGGTAGGCGCGTGGTAACTCCTGATGAGGAAGCAGCCATAGGTGACACTACGCCGCTACTCGGTTCGGAACGCTCTTACCGCAGCGAAGAGGCTGGAGGCGACTTTCCACCAACCATGGATGGCAATGATGCTTCCGCCGCCACGTCTTCAGCAACACCACGTCCGGTGACTCCCTTTGTCGCCGAACTACCGATTATTCATAGCCCATCGTTACCGGCAGTCATACACAGCTCAGGCCCTAGGCTGTCCGTCCTCCAGTCGTTCAGGCTTAGCAAGTTATACCGCAATCGGTTCCTATCGCCTACAGAAGTGTCCTGCCATACCGACCACTCCACAGCGCAGATGGAGTCGCAAATTCAATATGACGACAAGAGCCTAATAATCGAAATACTGTCACCTGTTCTCGACGACCTGAAGGAACTGAAGGCGTTGACACCCGAGAGTCTACAGGACCACAATCAGACCCTCAACAACGAGACGCACGCTCAGGTTCTTAAGCAGAAGCTGCTACCGATAGGTCAGCTTATCGTGGACTGCCTCGAAACAGTCCCACTGGACCACCGGGGTTGGTTGGAGGGAGCTATATGCCATCACATCGCCGACAATTACTGGCCGCTGCCTGTCAACTTCTTCACCCATCTGAAGATCCAGGAGAAATACCGCAATGCGCTCTTCAGGTTGGCGCAGCGCACACCTGCCGGAGCCATCGAGCCGCATCCCAACAAGGACTCTCAGCAGCCTCAAGCACCAGCTATCGAGCCTGATCCGCCCCAACCATCGCTGGACCCGAGGGATAATCCGGACACGCCACCATTCCCCAAATCGACCGCTGAGCAACCTCAAGCATCAGCTATCGAGCAAGATCCGCCCCACCCGTCGCTGGAACCGAGGGATGATTCGGATACCACTGCACCATTTCCCGGATTGTCCATTCAGCAGCTACAACCATCAGTCGTTCAGGCCGCTCCGGGCTCTGGGGACTTTCTAGATCTAAACTTTTACGAGTTGAGAGCAGAGGCTATTGAAGAGGCCGATGCGAGGGACTTGGACAACGTATAGTACCCAATGGTCAAGTACCACCTTCTGCCTAGTCTTCCAAGGCTGGACCGAAAGATCCGGAAATGTCAAATGCCCATGTCACTCTTCAATCCTCAATGTACGGGCTATTGGGACGCTTCTTTCGAGATCAACAACAACCAAGTTCAATGGAAGGTAGTGATACCTCATGTACGCATCGTATGTGAAACATTTACTGACTTTGTACATTCATCCTTAGGCTAAGCCTGATCCTAACACCATCCTTTACAACTACATGCTGCCCCCCGATCATATGACCAAATGTGTCATACCATTATTTGCGACACGCGGCCTGCTGGCAGATCTTGAGCTCGGCGTGGCCACGAAGATGAGCCACGAGTATCAAGACTCTAGGCAAAACCTGAGTGCAATGCTCGATTATGACATGCGTTGTTGCATCCTCTTTCTGACTCGCAAACGGCCCGATCTCCAACCATTCGAAGTACTGTGGTGCGCTGTAAGTGGGGTTTTGAAGTTGCACAAACCCTCGTTCGACAGATACGTTCAGGCACCTACAAAGATTCGCCAAAGGGTCAGACGAGACGGAATAGCAGCGTTTCAGAGAATGATAAAAGCCCCAGATTTCGACCACGTTGACCAATACCTTTGGAACGCGATGAGGGTGCTTGAGATCTATACTAGACCTCTGGTTACAAAAGAAAGTGTATTCCTCTGGATCGATTCCTTTCGTCTTGAGAACATCGACGTCATCTACGATTTACGCCTAGATGGCGCGAAAGCTCGAAAGAAATTGTTCGATTACCTCGAAGAGAGGCATCCTGGTGGCGAATCCATATGGCACAGCCTCGTGCAGAACTTCCACAGCCATGATGTAGTCAAATTTCCAGAGTACGCTACTCGACCACGCTCAATCGAAACCATTACTACCTGGGTATATTTCTTCACAGAAGCTCGACAGGGTGTTCTACTGAAGGGAATGGACTTCGACGCATTAGTCCTCGATGAAGCTGTAGCAGCTGTAGCAGCGGAGCAAAAGAAACCGAAAAAGAAGAACAAGCCGAGGAAACGTAAAGGTGCCAAATCGGGGGAGCTGCCTGATGAGAAGGAGCTGCCAGTTGCTCAAGAGAAGTGCACATCTCAAGACCTTCCTGTGTCTCTTGAACAACCTCCACAGAGGGACGACACGACACCGCAAGAGGAGTCTGTAACTCAAGAACAACACACATCCCCAGAGCAAGCTCTACCCCAGGAAGAGCCCCAAACCAAAAAGCAGCGCTTATCTCGAGAGCTATCGACTACGCCTATACCTTGTGGACCTACACCCTTTTCAACGCTGGAAGAGAAGGAGAAGAGCGAGCAGAAGCAGTCAACAGAGCAGTTAAAGAAGCAAAGAAAGAAGCAATCGAGATGGGAGAAGAAACATGGCAAGGCAGGAAAATCCGACGCTAACAAGCAAGCAGCCTCAATCACGGTGGAGGAGTCTTCGCCATCCGTTGTCGCGAAGGCCGATGACGGTGGTGACAGTGTTACTGGAAACGCCAACAAGGATAACGACGGTGTTATTGGCAGCAGTGTTATCAACGACGGTGGTGACCTTGGTGGCCACTTGTCTGCGGCTGATTCGGTTCCTAGCGATGAAGCGCCTACCAATCAAGAGACGGTTCAAGAGCATCCAAGCAACAGGTACGAAGTTTTGATGGCCAAGCCGTCGAAACACGCTGGGAAGTCCACCGGAAAGCTAGCGTTCCATGCCGATAGTGAAGATGACATGAAGAAGGCCATGGAGGAGAGTCTTCTGAACGACCCGGGTAGTTGGTCAAAGGTGCAAGGGCGCGCGAAAGTGCGACCAAAGCAGAAGCAGAAACAGCGCACCGACGATCGCAAGAGTATCCAAGATGCGTACAGAGAGAGAGGCTATGCAACTGCTGTTACCGATGCACAGTTGGACAGGGCAAGAGCTGAAGTGAAATCGAGAGAGGCACGGGCGGACTATCTCAGATCAAAAATAACGAGATTGTCTGCTCTGATACCAGGTGAGGGCAGCGCCGAATCAATCAAAGAACACAACAGTACCGCTTGCGGGCAGCCTACATCCTGGTCAGCGCTTTTCAAACCTACGGAGAATGACACGGGGCGCAACCCTCCTCAAGAAGCCGCTCCGTCTACGAATGCTGTCGACACGCGACCGCGTACCGCAACTGCCACGGAGAACCGTGAACCCATTCAAGAGAGCGCACAATCTGCGAGCCATCACATTCTTGCGCAATCAGAACCACCCGTAAGGCAAGAGCAATTCAAGGACTCAAAGCCATCCAAGGTTGTTGCCGGCGCGGCATCGACTCCCACATCAGGCACAGAGAACAGTGAGTCTATCAAGGAGACCGTACGGTCTGTGAGCCATCACACGACTATGCAATCAGAACCACCAGTTCATCAAGAGAGTCTCAAGGATCTGAAGCTGTCTAAGGACGTGGCGGGCGCAGGATCGACTTCCACGTCAGGCACGGAGAAGAGCAATTCCACCAAGGAGACAGTACAGCCTGTAGATTCTCAGAATGTTGCGGAGCAAGAAGGTCCGGCAGATAAGGGGGCATCCGGGGACTTTACACCATCTGAAGATGCTGCGGGTGCGGGATCGACTTCCACATCTGGCATAGAGAACAGCAGTCCGATCAAGGAGACGGTACTGCCTGCGGAGCCTCAAGATATTGCGCAATCGGAGCATCCGGTAGAGAAGAAGGAATCCAGGGACCTCGCGCCATGCGAAGATGCTGCTGGTGCAAAATCAACTCCTGCGCCCAGCGCAAGGAACGAAGGCTCCACGACAGAGAGCGCACAAACTGTCGACCCTCACTCGTTTGCGCAGACAAGCATACCGATGGATGAGGAGGCTCCCGAACCTCATCATAGTCGTGAGGCCAGCTCGCCGCCACCTGCGAATTCTCACGCTCCTGCGCAACCGCAATCGTCGCTGGATGAAGAGGCCTCCAAAGACTACGACGGTCATGAGGACGACATAGAGTCGCTTCCGAAAGTCAGTACCCCAAACCAGCCGTTAGTTGTGGTCGACTCGGCTGTGTCGCATGTGGAGCAGTGGCTTGCAAGCAAATACTCGGCTGCCTTCGCCGGGCTCACGCAGGCGGAAATAGACAATGCGCACTGGCGCCCTCAGGACTCGGAAGTGACTTAGAGGCAGGAATCGTTGAGGGCTTCATAACATGATTGAGACGAAAGACAGGCGAATGGAGGGCGGCGACAGGGTAGTGGAGGAGCATGATAGAATCGTCGCGCCAATTTTTGACCGGTACTTCCGGCATGTGGTGCAGGTATGACAACGTCAGATAGAGGGCTTAGAGGTATCCAATAGACATTCCAACCCAAGCATACAAATTTCCAGACGTGCATCGTATATCGTATCGTCGTAGCGCGGGATCTAGTGTAACGGGCGGGCGATGCAGGGGTTTCAGGGTACGCGAAGTGGATACCCGCATCTCGTTCCTGAGTGCACAGCCTCCGTCTCGTAGGGCTATCCGCGTATTCGTCTCGGAGTGGATCACTACATGGGTCTCTTGCGCTTTTGGGTGCAGCTTGCGATGGACGCAGTTGTATAAGGAGGAATGATGTCTGTGATGATGGATTTTACAAGCCACACATTCATTCCGTTTGTCTTCGTCCTGTCGCTTTTCAACACATACTTCCAGTTCTTTCACATTCGTTTACGACGACTGCTCGTGTGCTGCGGAACGGCGTGCTCCTTCTCTCCCTGCGTCACCCTTCTTAGGCACCTCCAGCCATACTTTATTCCCGAAGCATCACAATGGCAAACGAAACGTCAACAGACACAGAGGCGTACGCTCTCTTTCCCTACGAGCCCAGCAAGGTCGGCGCCATCCTCTTTGCTGTCCTCTTCGGCCTAAGCACAATCTACCACCTTTTCCAAATGATCCGAAGCCGCGCCTGGTTCTACACAGCCTTTGTAATCGGATCAATAAGTACGTCTCCCCTTCCCTCCTCCATCTCACAGCACATTGAACTAACAACTTCCACCCAGTGATGACAATCGGCTACGCAGCTCGCTACCTCTCCGCGCAATCCCCCTCCGAACTCATGCCCTACATCATGCAATCGCTCTTCATCATCCTCCCGCCCTCGCTCTACGCCGCAACAATCTACATGATCTACGGCCGCCTCGTCATCTTCGTAAACGCCGAACACGCTTCCGTTATCCGACCTACGTTGGTAACCAAGATCTTCGTCTGCGGCGACGTCGTTGCGTTTCTCATGCAGTCTGGTGGTGGCGGTATGATGGCGCAGGCAGACATGGCGGATATGGGACAGAAGATCATGCTGCTGGGCCTGTTCGTGCAGTTGGCGTTTTTTGGCTTCTTTGTCGTGGTTAGTGCCATATTCTATTTCAGGATGAGGAGTGCGCCTGAGAGGTATACGGTGCCGAAGTATGGGAAGTATGCGTGGCCGACTTTGGTAAGTTGCTTTCCCTTCTTATCTCCTTCGTCGACGGACTATATGCTAATCTTACGACAGTACAAATTGCTTGCCATCGCAGCCGTTGTCATCATCGCTCGCTGCATCTTCCGTGTCATCGAGTTTGGACAGGGTCATAGTGGATATCTGGCTTCGCATGAGGTGTACATGTACGTTTTCGATACGCTGCCCATGTTCTTGGTGCAGGTCTTGTTCCATTTTGTTCGCGCGGATGACGTGTTTGGAACGAATCACCGGGCGGTAAAGAAGCTGGATAGTGAGATTATTGGACTGTACGAGAGGGCGTGAAGGGATTTTTGCTGTTTTTCTTTTGTACTCTACAAGATGTTACGGGCGTTGGTTTTGCGTTTGGGCCTGGCGGGGCATGATTATGGCGTTTAGTTATTCTGCAGCTATGATGAACCTGCTTATGTAGAACTCGCATTGAATCTTTGCTAGACATCAGTGCATGCATCTTCATCCTGCTGTTGTGGTGTTTAGGGGAAGTCGCCGTGTTTGGAAGTTTCGCTCGCCGAGTGGGCCGAGGTCCACAACTCGGGTTAGCTCCAACCCGTTTCTAGCTTCGTCGTATTTCGTTCTTCGTTTCTCGTTCGCGTTGCTGCCTTCCCCAGAGCCTCCCTACTACTTTTTCCTCGCCTATAATATCAAGCTCTTGATGCAATTGGCCAGTTCCAATGGCTCTGAAAAGAAAAGCGCACTCGAAATCCCGGACGGGCTGTGCCACGTGCAAGCGCCGCCGGATCAAGGTACGAAGCATGTCGTACTACAACCTCCATTCTGACGCGCGCGATAGTGCGACGAAGCAAAACCGCGATGTTCGCATTGCGTGAGACATGAGGTTGCCTGTGTATACCCAGAATACATACCCGTGCGAGCCAAAAGTTCGACTGAACACGCGTCTTCTCGTGCTCAAACACCGGCAACTCCGAACGCATTCCAGCTAGCGTCCCCTCAGAACGACCCTTTCGCAGCGAGCACACCATGTTCCGAAACCCAGGTCATTCCCTCCTTCTCTTTGAAGGATATGTCCCTATTGCATCACTGGACAATGGCTACAAGTCTTTCCATACTACCCGGTGTGCCGGCGGTCACCCAGCTGTGGCAGGTGGTCTTCCCAGAAATAGCATACAAACACGCATACATGATGCACTGTCTCATCAGTCTCTCCGCTTTACACGTTGCATATCTCAATCCTGACGACAGACGCGCAAATCTCCACATCGCAGCGCATCACCACACCGTCGCTCTCAGCGGATTTAGAGCAGATATCGACACGATTGGCCCGCACAACGCTGAAGCAGTCTTTGCTACTTCAACGCTAATGTTCTTCTACGCTTTCTGTACCTTTTCCAAGCTTTCAGATGCCAACGCGGACAAACAGCAAGATAACGACAGTACCAGCGATAGCCTGTCAATACGGACATCGCGTATTCTGGGTGCAGAATGGATACCTCTTGTGCGCGGTATTCAGGCTGTGATAGGCCCTATCTACGAACATCTCAAAGAGGGCCCTTTAAAATCAACGCTCCATCTAAAGGACTGGGATGATATGGATCCTAACATGCAGCCGGGACCGGATGATCAGCACGTGGTGCGCATCAAGCAAACGTGGGCTGACGATGGAAATAAGGCAGTATACGACGAGACGCTGTATTTGTTGAGGAAGATGAGTGCATGGGTCCTTCATTTCCGGAAAACCTGGGAAGATCAACAGGAGGAGTGGGGATATAATGGTAGTTGGTCTGCTGTAAGTTGCTAAATCCTACTCTCCAGGTCTACTTGAAATCTTTACTAACTCAGGGCTGTTGCCGCTGTTGATACAGCCGTTCGTTTGGTTATCTTTAGTACCGAAAGAATACTTCAAGTTGCAGCAACAACGGCAGCCATTGGCTTTACTCATCTTTGCTTACTTTGGCGCACTGTTAGAACAGCTTCACACAGGTTGGTGGACGGCAGGTTGCGGCACGAGCATCGTAGGTGTAGTAGATGACTTCCTAGGATCCTACTGGGCCGAATGGATGGAATGGCCAAAACAAGTGGTCAACCAACAGCAACAGCGGCAAACATCCGAAAACCAAAGCACCGTCATTCCATATCTCGATCGAGAGCCGCGTCCTCAAGCCACGATACCCAACGCCTCGTAAACCGTTGCAATAAACTCCGACGTCCTCGGATTGCCCATACCACCCTTGCCCTTCTCATTCGTCTGCCCCAACCCGGCTGCATCCATCTTGTTCATAACATATCCAAACGTCATCTTCCTATCCGCATCAGCGATAACCCGGCTTCCGCCCCAACCACCCCAGGTCGCCGCCCGTCCTAGTGGCAGATCAGCCATAATGCTTCCTTCAGCTGGCAGTCCAAATCCCAGTCCAAGACGGACATTCATCGGAATAACGAGGTCCTGCGCGGCATGTTGCTGCGTCGAGAAAATCTGATCAAGAGTCTTGCCAGAGAGAAAAGAAGGGTTTTCCAAGGAGATGACGGACATGAGACGAACGAGAGCGCGCGCATTGCTGTATCCGTTCGCCGCGCCAACGACTGAACCCCTCCAGACTGGTTGGTTGGCCCAGTCAGCGTCCATGCCGGGGTTTATGCCCATAGACTTGAACATGATACTCTTTGTATCAATGGCCATGCCCTCCATATTTTCTTGGTGTTGTGGCGGGGGAATAATATCGGCGACTCTGTGCCACTCCTTCTCCGGGACACCAAGTTGAAAGTCCGCCGCGAGAGGACGAGATAGTTCCTCGGCGATGAACTCTTGCATTGGCTTTCCAGTTACACGACGGATCAACTCGCCGAGGAGATGGCCCATTGTGAGTCCGTGGTAGCCGTTCGCGGTACCGGGTTCCCACCACGGCGCCTGCTGCTCCAGCAACTTCGTACTCTTCTCCACATCGCACACATCCTCAATGGTAACAGGCCCCTCCCACCCACTCACTCCACTCGCATGCGAAAGAAAGTGGCGTACTTCCACGCCTTCTTTCCCGTTCGCGGCGAATTCAGGCCAGTACTTGCACACCTTCTCGTTCGGATCCAGAAGACCCCGGTCGATGCACAAGAGAGTCGCCAGCGCGCAGATAGTCTTGCTAGAGGACCAAATACATGTTATAGTGTCCTTCTCCCATGGTCGTGTTCGGGCTTCATCTGCGTAGCCGCCCCAGAGATCGACGACTTCTTTCCCGTCGAGGTTGACGCAGATGGAGGCGCCGAGCTCTTCGCCCGAGTCGAGGTAGGATTGGAAGACGGACTTGACTTTGGCGAAGCGAGGGTCGCATGTTCCTTGGACTTTGGCCATGGTGATGGGAGGGGGTAAAGGAGGAGGCTTGGATGGTATATCGTGATGTGGTCGTATCGAGGTGATGTTGGTTGTGAAGATGTAGTAGGAGTTTCCCTGTAGATCAGATGCTCGAACTGTGAATGCTGGATTCAAGTATCCAGACGAGCAGTACTTGTACTTTCTACATTTCACAATGGCATCGTCTCCAACCTGACGGGGAAAAGCCCACTCGGTCCGCCGTATAGACCGTATAGCCATCGGCTGCGGAACGTCCGTATTCCGAACTCAGAGCGCGGACTAACAAGGACGACGAGATTAGACGTGGTATGAAAGCGCCCAAGTTACTGCGTTGCGCTACATCTACGCGTAGTTTTAGAGTTGCCGCATCCTGCTGCCGCTGTAGT